ATTAAATTCACTAATTTTTGTGTGTGTTATTATCATTTGTTTGCTTGTTACTCTGTTACTCTTTTAGACAACGTGTTGAAATACTGAAGTCTTCCTGCTCAGAGCTAAAAAAGGCAAGAGAGATTCTGCAAACATCATCTCTCGAAAGAGCTACAAGTTTGTTGATGAGAGAAAGCCAAAGGACCCCATCGAGGATTGGAAAGTAAGTCTGTGTTCTTGTGTTTCATTACATTTATACAATGATCTAATGCACTGTTATCACAAAGCTGGATAATGTGCTCATTTTCAGTTAATAGAATAGTACACATCACATTATTTACTGTCTCCAGCATTTTATCTTGCCCGTGTTGTTATTACATTTAACATGAACAGCAAACTATTGAACAGTTCTCTTTTTGAAATGGATAGCAGCTTGAAATGTCTTACAATACAAAATCCCTCTGTCAACTAATGCTGCATGATATTGGGAAACTGCAATAACCTTTGAGGTTCATACAATTATAATTTGTATTATCATTTGGGCCTTCAATTCTATTTTCTTTTTCAAATAAAAACCCCTTATATGTTCAAAGTGACTTTTAATTTGCATCAAGAGCCCTGTGACAGTAAAGAACAGTTCATCGTCACACACTGCATGTGATCCCTTCAACTCTACATCTTATGTGCACATAGACTCTGCCTGCACAGAAGTCACTTCTCTTTGTGATCAGGAAGAGGATCAGACAGACTGATATTGTAGATCAGTCATGGAAAGAGAAAACTGAAGGCTTTTTGTTTTTTCAAAAGCAGAAACAACAAAAAATGCATGAAATGATACATTTCAGGACATATGATTGATATTATATATTCTGTAATGTTATCATAGCACTTGTACACATACGCAAAAATGATGCTTAAATCATACCATGCAGCCCTACAGTCAAAAATATCTACACTAAGTCGGTGCAGTTTTTTGAGTGAATGTGAATTGAATTCCAAGTTTCTTACATTGTCAACTTTAAATGCAAAAAAAACTTGAATCTATATCTTTTTCCACTGTTGTAATTTTTTTCTGATTCCTTGTCAAGAGCCGGATTACTGGCTGGAAAAATTATTGGCTCAACCCCTCCCTGACGAGGAAGAAAACAACCTGAAACCAGAGGACTTTGAAATCCTGGTCAGTTTTTTGACTTTCTTTCATTTCACCTTTTTGTAAATTCTTCAGTTTTGCGGATTTTTTGATTTGTAAGATGTTGCAAAATCTGTTATTACACACATGCTTTTACTCTCAACCTTCATTTTAGGTCATTGAAATGGACTATGGCATGGACGATAAAGACCCTATCCAACATGTTCATTTCTACAGCAAATCTGAGCTTGACGTGGCAAAGCCAATGCCCGAAGAAAAGGTAAGAACTAAATATTGATTAAAACATTTTTTTATCGCAATATTTCTTCTGTTTATTGGGTTAAATTATTTGTAAGGCAGCTTATGTCACCAAAACTCTCAAAGTAAAGCTGCTGTCCTTCTTTACAGGGATCCAGGATTCGCACAACGTGCTTTTCTGAGCAGCTGATCAGGGTCTTCTGTAACAAGATTGATGACGAGAGTGTGGAGGCTGCCAAAAAGCACTTTAAACAGTGGTACTATGATTTTCTAATCCTTTGATAATAGTTGAATCTTAAGATGTTAAAGGAGACAATCGACTAATTTGCTGTTGATTGAACATAAAACATCAAATATAAATTCAGACCAGTTGACTTGGCTAAAGTAAATAGAAAACAGTCAACAGTTGTTTTGGATTTTGAAAATTTCAAAAAAATCAGAGAATCGAAAAAAAGACCAAGTACTTTGAGTTTTCTGTTGTGTCACTACACTGATTTCCACAAGTCTTATCCCCAGTACAGTTTATTTAACATGGTTGAACATGTGATCTACAGTCTCAAACAGACTTTTTTTGAATGGGTGTGTATGTGGCTTCCAGTGTTTCTCCAGCCAGCTTCAGGTGGGGTCTCCCCAAGAAAATGTTAAGCACCAAACATTTATTTTCCTGCATTCTCATCCTGATTTTGTCTCGTTTAAAGAAATGGAATAAAGATGTGCGCATGAGAGAGAGAGAGAGAGAGAGAGAGAGAGTAAAACCAGATATGCCTTGCTGATGGAAATGATTGATGGACCTCAGCCCCTTGTTTTGTCTCGCAGAATTTATGAAACCTTGCCAACAGTTTGCTAGTCCGTAGCCACGCTTTACAAGTCCATTGTACTGACTAGTAGACAGCATTTTTTTTTTTTTTAACTGAGCCTTCATGGGCTCTGTGCAACACAACAAAACTCCCTCTTTAAAAAGTTGATCTAGCATCTCAGTTATTACAACAGGTGAGCATGATGTGAAGGCCTGTTATCAAGATTCAGCAAAACCAAGAGAGAGCATCATCACATCGGCAGCAAGCAGCTTCACAAACATAATAAAACTAAGTCATGAGAAGCTTCAGTTTTGACATGTCAGGAGGGCTGGACCTCAGGTGCATTAACAGGAGGGAGGAACAAACAGCAGCCCTCTTTTTGTCTCTCTCTCTCTCATGCGGACTGCAATTTTATGAATAATTAAAACATATAGTTTTAAAATATAGGCTACTTGGGCAGCTATACATGTACCTGGGCAGCCCGAGTATTGTCTGTGTGGGAAATACTGACGCGAGTGCAGCGTAAGTGCAGTTTGTGAAGGAAAAAGGAGCAAGAGAATCGGCATCACGCAGACATGACATCGCAACTATGTGAGAATCGAGACTGGGATTCTTTCTGACCTGAGGGATCTTTTTTTGTTTTGTTGTGCTTCAGTTTGCACATGTCTTGGCTCCAAAAGAAGTCACCAGCACAAAATGTTGGTCGGTATTTTGTCTTTGCTCTTTATACAACAGACCAAAACTCATTGTCCATATTAATATATGCAGTATGTGGTTTTATGACATTGAAAGGCTGTTTTAATATATGAGCATTAGAATGGAACAATGAGCAGGGAGGGAATGATTGCATTGAACTTCAGGACACTGTTGCCTTTTCTTTGCTTTTATATGATTTTGATCCCTTTTTTGATGCCAAATTAATGTTGGAGTCTTCAAACTTTTGTATTTTAGTACCAAAAGACAAAAACTTTGAAAATATTTTTTTTTTACTTAAGATTTAAAAAAACTGAAAGTTCTCACCAGTGAGATGATGGATCTGCATGATGAGTGCATTGTTTTGCTTTAAAATAACTTGAATGAGAGATCGTTTGTTAAATAGAATCATTTCTGCCTCAATTTATCTCTCACTAGGTTTACTCTGCACTGCTTTCTTTAAAACAGATGTACTTGTGTGTCCTTATTAACATGCAGGCTGGAGAAGAATCCATATCTGGATGGATCTGAGGGTAATTAGAGCGATCTTCCTGCAGTTGACACCAAGGAAAGTACCAAACAACATGAATAACACTGAATTATTATTGTTTATCGTTTGCTTGTCACTCTCTTACTCTTAGAGGCAAGAAAGATTCTGCAAAAAATTGTCTCTGGAGAGATCTACAAGTTTGTTGGTGAGAGAAAGCCAGAGGAGACCATCAAGGATTGGAAAGTAAGTCTGTGTGTTCTTGTGTTTCATTACATTTATTACACATGATCTAATGCACTGTTATCACAAAGCTGGATAATGTGCTCATTTTCAGTTAATAGAATGAGTACACATCACATTATTTACTGTCTCCAGCATTTTATCTTGCCCGTAATATTACATTTAACATGAACAGCAGCACTATTGAACAGTTCTCTTTTTGAAATGTAATGTGAATTGGATAGCAGCTTGAAATGTCTTATAATACAAAATCCCTCAGTCAACTAATGCTGCATGATATTGGGGAAACTGCGTTTTCTTTTCATGTTCATACTATTACAATTTTTATTATTATCTGGGTCTTCAAGTTTATTTTCTTTTACAAATAAGAACCCCTTATACATTCAAAGCTACATTTAATTTGCATCAAGAGCCCTGTGACATTAACTTCTAAGCAAAGAACAGTTCATCTTCATACACTGCATGTGATCCCTTCTCTCTCTCCCTCTACACTTTATGTGCTCATAGACTAACACACGTCCTGGGATATTACCATGGCACTTGTACACATAGCAAAATGAATGCTTAGATCATACCATGCAGCCCTACAGTCAAACGCATTTACACTAAGTTGGTGCAGTTTTTTGAGTGAATAAGAATGAATTCCAAGTTTCTTACATTGTCAACTTAAAATGCAAAAAACTTGAATCTATATCCTTTTCCACTGTTGTAATTTTTTTCTGATTCCTTGTCAAGAGCCAGATTTCTGGCTGGAAAGAAGGATTGGCTCAACCCCTCCCTGACGAGGAAGAAAACAACCTGAAACCAGAGGACTTTGAAATCCTGGTGAGTTTTCTTTTACTTTCTTTCATCTGACCTTTTTTTGTAAAATCTTCAGTTTTGCTGATTCTTTGATTTGTAAGATGTTGCAGAGTTTGTTATGGCACACATTTTACTCTCGACCTTCTTTTTAGGTCATTAACAAGGACTACGGCATGAAAGACGAGAACAGGAAAAATGTCAGAACTAACTATTGATTAAAACAATTTTTTTATCACAATCATTCAATAATTCTTCTGTCTGTTATTTGTAAGGAGGTTTATGTCTCCATAACTCTCAAAGTAAAGCTGCTGTCATTCTTTACAGGAATCCAGGATTCGCACATTGATCTTTTCTGAGCAGCTGATCAGGGTCTTCTGTAAGGAGATTGATGACGAGAGTGTGGAGGCTGCCAAAAAGCACTTTAAACAGTGGTACTATGATTTTCTAATCCTTTGATAATAGTTGAATCTTAAGATGTTAAAGGATACAATACATATCAACTAACTTGCTGTTGATTGAACATAAAACCAGTTGACTTGGCTAAAGTAAATAGAAAACAGTCCACATTGAGTACAGTTTATTTAATATGGTTGAACATGTGACCTACAATCTGCTGAGTGTGGAAAACATTAGCTGTGCTAGCATCCTCAGCCTTCGGTCTTCCTTTCAGGTTAACGTATGCTTACCTGTGCTGGTGAAGCTCTACTCTAATAGATTTGATACTTTAACTTAACAAAATACTGCCAAGCTGGGCAACACTCCAACATGTTATTGGTCCTTTGTCCTGGTTTGCATCCAGGTTAGACAGCAAGTCTAGACAGTCAGTCAGATTTCTGTAGTGAAACAATTTTACTGACCTGTATTGGAACCGTGCAGGACTCTGGTTTGGGGCCCTCAGGTTAAGAGAGGTAAGCAACACCAGCATGGGAGTGAAACCAAAAGATTAACCAACCCTCTGGTTTCTTCAAACTTTCACTCAGGAGCAAAAATCAGCTTTTAAATTTGAAAATTTGAAAGTAATAATGATTGATAATTATTGTGATAATTATATCGACTGATATGACATTTTGATAACATTTTTAGTTTTTTTAGCCCAGGCCTATAAGCTACGGGTCTTAGTGTGAATAACGCGTATCCTTCATGAAAAGAAAAATGGACATGTTAAAAAAAAAATCCCTCTTCATACAATGTGTGCTGATTGAGACATGAGATAATCAGACCAATTTAGTTTTTTTAATCGAGCTGTAAACATGTTTATTTCTGCTGTAAAAATTGGCTTTTCTGAATGGGTGTGTATGTGACATATTAATATATGCAGTTTGTGGTTTTATTACATTGAAAGGCTGTTTTAATATATGAGCATTAGAATGGAACAATGAGCAGGGAGGGAATGATTGCATAGTGAAACAAAACTTCAGGATTCTTCTTTTGCATTTATATGATTTTGATCCTTTTTTGATGCCAAATTAGCATCGGTGTCTTCAAACTTTTGTATTTTCCTACCAACGGACAAAAACTTTGAAATAATGTATTTTATTACTTGAGATTTAAAAAAACTGAAAGTTCTCAGCAGTGAGATGATGGATCTGCATGATGAGTGCATTGTTTTGCTTTAAAATAAGTTGAATGAGAGATCGTTTGTCAAATAGAATCATTTCTGCCTCAGTTTATCTCTCACTAGGTTTACTCTGCACTGCTTTCTTTAAAACAGATGTACTTTTGTGTCCTTATTAACATGCAGGCTAGAGAAGAAGCCAAATCTGGTTGGACCTGAGGGTAATTAGAGCGATCCTCCTGAAGTTGACACCAAGGAACTTACCAAACAACATGAATAACACTGAATAATATTCGCATTCAGACCTAGCACTTGTGTTTTTTCTCGCTTTTATCATATACATGCTGTATCATTCTTTTAAATTGATTGTTTAAAAATCAGTTCCAACAACACACAACATGTTTTTATTCTGAGGACAAAGATAAATCATAATATATGATACCACTCTGTACAATTACGGGGCCTGCAGTCAATATGAAACAGTATCATTGGCCCATTTAATTCACTGTGTTACGCTTCTATCGACTCACACAGAAAACCCATTCAAAATTTGATACAGAAAAAATTGGATACTTTTTTTTAACATTAAGGAAAATATATCAGTTATAAAGCCATATCTCAAAGATCACTGGATCTGGATCGCTTCTGGATTTGAATTTCTGATCTCTAAACTGATACATAGACACACATGACACTGGATACTTACACAGCTAGCAGCTGTATGGCTGTTGAATACCATTTAGGTAAAGAAAGCCATTATTGAAATCCAACAATCATTGTCTCAAACTGAATATATAAACTGCATGTTTCTGAATTGATTCAGCTTTTGGTCACATTTATGCTTCTTTGTAGGTTGTGAATTATTTTTGGTCGGGGAAAGATGTAAAGCACTCCCAACATGTGTAATGGAGTGAATATTTCACTTGTGGTTTTATTTAGGGATTTATAATACTCAGTGGTGTTTTAGTTTTGATGTTAATCGTTTGAAGATTGAGGACATGAGATTAGATTATTTGTCTTTGAGTGGTGTTTAATGAGAGATGATCATGAGTGATGTTTTGGTGACTGGTATTATCTTATATTATATTACTTTGTATCTGCAGCATTTATTATCACAATACAATTTTAATCTGTTTTAAAATGAGTCTTATTTTGGGCATGTTTTATAATGTGCTCTTCTTTTGAGTTTATGATTCTTACTTTAAAAACTGGAACTTGTGAAAACCTTTATTTGCATCTAAAAACTTGAAATTCGAATTAAACAATACATTTTTAAACGTATCCATCAACTACCTTTCTTGGATGATGAATGTGTTTAAATGTATGACAGACTTTAAGTGAAGCTATAATTGTTTGACGATTGGTTCTTACATAATGCATCTATGATAACCTTTCAAGTGTATTCCTGTTGTGATGGGTTCATATCTGATAAAATCTGCATGTATTCAAAATAAACATCAGAGAAAATCCTGAGTTCAACATTGTGTAATCTATCAAACCATATGCATCTATATATATATATATGTATATATATACACTGTATATATCACCTGTGGTACAAATCTAATTGCAGTTCAAAGTCCTTTACAAAGGAGCGGAAAAATGACTGACAAAAGGTAGTTTGTAAAATATAACAGCAATAAGAAATGAAATCAGCACAATGATTAATAAATATAAATACTAAAAACCTAAAATCAAACACTAAAATGTAAATTTAAAAGTAGAGATGAATAATATTGATTAAAATATAGTAAATTAAAAGCCTTAAAATGATTAAGTCATATAGAAAAGCCAGACTGAATAAATGAGTTTTTTAAATTGTTTTTAAAAATCTCAATATTCTCTGATCCTCTGAAGTCTGTTCCAAAGTCTCAGAGCAGCAAAACGCAGAATCACAAAAGGTTTTTGTTCTGCTCTGTGGAACAACTAAAAGAAGAACCAGAGAGAAGAACAAGAAGACCTGAGGGGTCGTCCTGGTTCATAAACTAAAATCAACTCTGAAAAGTTAATCTGGTGGGAGGCCAAGTGCTTTAGACAATAATAAAATCAATATGAAGACAAAAGGTGCAGCCAGTGTCAAGACTTTCAAAGATAGTGTAAGATGGAGATGAGATTTATTTTTGTGAAGTATTATTTTATAGATCTTTATTTTGCTTAGGTTGAGATAATATACATTATTTGATTTAATGCTAATTTCATTTATATTTACAATTTGTACTGTACAAGAGTATCTGTTTGATATGATGCACTATGCCTTTAAGGTTACCCATGGTTACGGTTTGAGGAGTGATATTGCTTTAGGACAAGTAAGGTGTCACTGTTGTTGTTGTTCAGTCTGGATATGTCATGCTCTGTTACGGATGGACATTAAACGTATGAGACGCACAGCAGAAGTTGTTCCCGTGCTTTTACTTACCCACACCCGAATATACAGTAGAAATATATATATAAAAATAATATATTGTCTTGCAGCCTTTTCTTCTTCATGAGTGGAGAATTAAAACAAAGTGTTAATAGTAATTTGCCTATGTGCCTATGTTTGATTAAAGAGTGGAAGGTACCGCACATCAATTTGCAATTTGGGACCTTCTCTATTTTGAAGATCATTTTTGATGAACTTAACTTTCGCCCTATTTTATAAGCTCTCCATAAACATTTAGAAGCTGTTTTTAACTTTCTAAAATAAAGTGCCAAGACGTTATTAAGATTTCAGTGTATTAGTATTAGTCAACAAATATAAATTCTTCTGTAAAGATGTTAACACTCATTCATTACTTCATCATAACTGCCAACTACTTGATATTGTTTTTAATCTGTCCTTTAGAAGTTTTTTGACTGCCCTCACATGCTTCACAGGTTGAGTTAACGTCGACATTGCCTATTTCATCACATCATGTTAAGTTTATTTGTAGGACACAGTAATCAACTGTACATCATTTGCAATAACAGAAACTGTGTGTGGAGTATGGATCACATGCTTGTTTATATATTATTTCACCACACATTAAGTGTTGTATGCAGAAGGTGTAATTCTAAATCCCAAATGTTCATGCTGTGAGAGACTGATAATACTGTTAATGTGTTGTTATTTTGTGTGTGGGTGTGTAGGGCGAGGTAGGTAAATAAATTATGCAAAGCTGAATACTCTGCCTGTTTTTCTTTCTGCTGGTAGAACAGGGAGCAGCAGGAGATGAGCCATAGAAAAAAATCACAGCTTTTAAAAGAGATATGTCATATGATGAAACAATGACAAATCATGATTGTTCATATAATTTTAACACAAATGTTCACATTTATACAAGTGTTGTACAGGATGCAGGAGATATCATTCTAAATCCCTAATGTTCATATTGTGAGAAACTGATAATTTGTGTGTGTGTGTGTGTGTGTGTGTGTGTGTGTGTGTGTGTGTGTGTGTGTGTGTGTGTGTGTGTGTGTGGTAGGTAAATAAATTATGCAAAGAGCAGAATACTTTGCATGTTTGTTCTGCCGGTACAAAAAGAAGCAGCAGGAGATGAGCGAGAAACTGTTGGAATCACTAGATTCCAATAGTTTATTGGAATTAATCACATTATTATTCGCATTCGCCATTTATTCAGAATCAGAAATACTTTAATAATCCTGGGGGGGGGGGTGAGTGATAATGTGTTATAAAACGCCTTGAGAGGTGTCTTGTTTAAAGGCACCTCGACAGTGCTCAGGAAGTGAATTGGCGCCTCTCCAGCTACCAGACCAATCTCCAGACTTGAACCGACGACCCTCCGGTTCCCAACACAAGTCCCTGCAGACTGAGCTACTGCCACCCCATAGAGCTTTTACTCCAAGAAATAAACAACTTAAAACACAACCTGATCCAGGTATTTATATATTTCAGAATCTTGAAAGTATACTAAGTACTGATGTTGTAGTGAGGACCACACTAACCGAGACCAAGACATATGTGAGACCAGAGTGATATGAGACTGAGACAAGACCGAGACATTTAGGGATCGAGACCAAGTCAAGACCAAGACCATAAATATCACTTTTAAAATCATCAT